AATAATTTAGTCTCAAAATGGTTTATTTTTTTAGACAAAAAATTTGGTCCAAAAAGGATAATAATTTATCACTAATGTCCAATTTTTGTTGCTAAAAATATAATAATGACACTTTTCTTAATAAAAATATTTGGTCTCTAAAAAAAAATTTTGTCCTTAAATTTTGGTTCCTAAAATCTTAATTTTTTGTAGTGCCTATGTAATCAAGAGTCGAATCAATTTCTTAGTTACTGATTCAGTTATATTGGAATCGTTAGAATCAATTCCATAAATCAAGGACTAAATTGTTTTTTGTGGTTCTAGAAAAACTGAATTCGTAAGTGAACTGTTGATCCTATGTAACTAGACCAAAACCTAGCTATAGATACCCGTTCAGTTTAGTTTGGTTTGAATTCTCTCGCTTTAAAAATTTTATAAAACAAGTTGATAAATTTATAAAAGTAAATTTATTTATAATAGTAAATATAAATAAATAGATATCTACTAGTGCAATCAAGTTGGTTGAAATTGTGAAAACTAGTGTTTTCTCTTATTTTTAATCACAAGAATATTAAAAAAAATTAATAAACAAATATATCACAGTTCAATTTAGTTGAGATTTGTAATCAAAACAATAAAGTTGTAAACTGCGCCAATTCAAAAAGTTCTAACATTTTTTAAATCGAAACCAAAACTAAAATTAATTAAAATTAGACCAAATCAGTAATATTTAGATACGATAGATTTATGGTTTAGGGTTTAAGATTGATTCAGTTTACCAGTTATGACTATTTTTTCGAAGAGGCCTAGAGTTCTCTACATACACATTGCTTCTATTACATCAATACAACTTGGTGGTGAAACAAATTTGTAAAATAAAATGCGAGATAAAGAGTATTTTTCTCAAAACTAATTATTCAAAAAACATTTTTATTATTATTTTTTTCATCTTCATTCTATTTTGTAAATCACCCAAACAATATATATAAATAATATACCATGCAATATAGATACAGTTAGCCGAAATATTTGGACACTACAACATTTAAGCCAACCACAAATTTTATTTTATTATTTTATTTTTTATTGAAAATAATTAGCGATTAGCTGTTAGATTAGTATATTAGGAGAGTTTATCTCACAACCTCGACAAATACGCAAAACTTACCTTACATTTTACTTCTAACTCTTACGAGTGGAAGTTAAGACCTCACTTAGTTGGCAGTTAATGAAACCCAACACATAAAGGGCCCGTTTATTTTTAGAATTAGATTGGTTGGAATTGTTAGTGAGGGAACTAAAAAAAAATATGTTTGTTTGATAATCAGTGAACTAACAATGGTTCCAATTTGTTTTGAGAGATAGGAGTCAAATTAACTATGTAAAATTTCACAAATACTCTTATTGCATTACTATCAAATTTGGGTTATACTAACTAATAAATGCATTACATATTTTGATATTAAAAATTATATTTCATAAATATATATATTTTTGGTACTATTTTACTTGATGTAATGAGTTATTTGTTCATCAATAAAGGGTTTTTTTGCCGAAAAAAAAAAAAAAAAAAGACCTCACTTAGTTGGCAGTTAATGAAACCCAACACATAGAGGGCCCGTTTATTTTTAGAATTAGATTGGTTGGAATTGCTAGTGAGGGAACTAAAAAAAAATGTGTTTGTTGTTTTGAGAGATCGGAGTCAAATTAACTATGTAAAATTTCACAAATACTCTTATTGCATTACTATCCAATTTGGGTTATACTAACTAATAAATGCATTACATATTTTAATATTAAAAATTATATTTCATAAATATATATATTTTTGGTACTATTTTATTTTTTTAATATAATTTTTTTTTGGGTATAAATATTATTATACTATTATATTTTTATATTAAATTATTTTGATATAAAGAATGGCAGAGTAAAAATGGTAGAATAATTTAAAAAAAAATGATAGAGAAAAGATCATACTAATTAAGTAGTGTACGTAAATCAGGTATGATAATCAATGGCAAAATAGTAAATGCCCCTCTAATCCCAATGGATTATTTTTCTAATATCATCTCTCATGGGGGACTACTAATACTATCCATAGAGGTTTACCATAGTCCCAAGTACTGTAAATCCCTTTCCCATTTTGCAAATAATTACAATATTAGTGGATCCAATATTCTTCCTAATCCAATGTCATTTACTATAACCCAAAACAAACGGACCCAAAATCTACATATGAAGAAAAAATAATTCAAAATGACTTAATTTTTTTTGATTAAATGCCAATATTTTTTTTATACTATGAAACCATAACTTCTTCAAATATACAACATTAATTTGAAAATTAAACACTTTTTAATTTAATTTTTTTTTTGAAACAACAGACTGCGAATTTAAAAGTTATTTGACATAATCTAAATAAATAATATTTTTAACTTTTTTATAAATAAATGTAAAATATAGTGTAGAGGGCATTTAACTTAATTAAGAATTGATATAACTTAAATAAAATAAAAAATTATACTATTTTAATAAATCCCAAACAAACCTTAATACAAAGTGAATGAAAATCTCACTTCTTAGTTCTTTGAGTCAGAGCCACTCAAAGTCTCTAATGTGACCTTGATATGATTTAACATATTAAACACATCAAATACCTTAATTTCCTCGAAACGCTGATTGGCTGTCTCTGCCACGATGTCATATATTCTCACACTATGATTGGATCAACTCTTTTGACGGCCAGGTCTCTGCCAAGTGTCACATCTTCTATTGCGTGATGGATATTAACCATCAACTGTACCCTTTTACCCACTCGGTAAATCCAAAAACCCGTATACACATATTTTATAATAAATTTGAAGATAAAAGGGTTATAAAATATTAAATCAGTCTTATCTATCTGTCTGTAAATCTGAGTACATCAGAGCCGTCCATTTCAGAAGCCATTGTTGTACGCTTCTCATGCATGAAAGAGGCCAAAAAGCCCAAAAATCTACCAAGACTCCCATTGGTTAGCAGTTGTCGTACGTTGTTTGTCTCTGTTCCTATCTCTCCCTCTCTCTCTAGAATGACTTGCACAAATATATCTATACAAAATCTACAACAAATGCAAACCTAGAATCTCCAATGAGAAGCAGTGAGATGACGATTTGCAGGACAAAATTGATGACCCAAATTGAGCCCTTCTCATTGGTTCATCTTTCTCATTCAGTTTGCCAAGTGTCACATCTTCTATTGCGTGATGGATATTAACCATCAACTGTACCCTTTTACCCACTCGATAAATCCAAAAACCCGTATACACATATTTTATAATAAATTTGAAGATAAAAGGGTTATAAAATATTAAATCAGTCTTATCTATCTGTCTGTAAATCTGAGTACATCAGAGCCGTCCATTTCAGAAGCCATTGTTGTACGCTTCTCATGCATGAAAGAGGCCAAAAAGCCCAAAAATCTACCAAGACTCCCATTGGTTAGCAGTTGTCGTACGTTGTTTGTCTCTGTTCCTATCTCTCCCTCTCTCTCTAGAATGACTTGCACAAATATATCTATACAAAATCCACAACAAATGCAAACCTAGAATCTCCAATGAGAAGCAGTGAGGTGACGATTTGCAGGACAAAATTGATGACCCAAATTGAGCCCTTCTCATTGGTTCATCTTTCTCATGCAGTTTTCAACAGTCTCAGAAGCTTTAATGAATGGCTTTTACTGAGAGAACAAAAAAGATAACTTGTTTCCAACAAGTGAAATAATTCTCAAAAAGAGTGTTTTTCACCATTGATGATAACATTAGGGTTCAGATTGATGGAAACAAAAAAAAAGAAAAAAAAACCAACAGAGCACCATATGGGAAATCATGACAGACCACTACTCTTTTGTCAGAATTCAAAGAAACTGAAAAATCTTGTGTGACGTGACCAAAGATTCTTGTAACTATAACAAAACTACACCCTCCTAATCTGGTCTTAAAATCTAACTAGATCACATGTCTTAACATTAAGGCATTGATTGGCTGAAGAGACATCTGGTAGTCATTGAACAAACACCCATTTCTATAAAAGTATAGTTTGCAATTAAATTTAAACCTTAGTTTAGTGAAAACCCATTTAATAAACTTGAAGAAAAATTCAATAAAAATTTGGGTAAACCCTAATTGGGGTGTAATTCGTTTTGACCTAATTTTATTCTCAAACCCTAAATTGGCATTTTTGATGGGTTGATGACAATTTTTTCAGAGTACTTTTGTTTGTTTAGTGATGGTAAGTTAACGTGCTATTAAGAAGGTGTCAAGAGATGGAGGAAAATTGGGTGAGTGAGAGATTGACAGATTTGTGTTTGTAGGCATCCGTAGCCTAACAGATGACATGAAGTGGAGAGAGAGAGAAAGAAAGAGAGAGAGAGAGAGAGAGAGAGAGAGAGAGAGAGAGAGAGAGATCTAGAAAGAGAAAGACAGAAGGGGGAAAAGAAAGTTAACTAACAGCAATGGAGGTGAAAAACTCAAATCACTACTTGTTGCTACTACAACCATAATATGCTTCTATTTCCATCTATTACAAATAGATCTATGTTTCTACCAAACAATAAGAACTACAAAAGGACCATAAAAACGGGAAAAATTAAAATAAAATCCCTGAAGATCATAGAAGGATATTAAAAAAAACAAAAAAATGAAGAGAGAGAAGAAAGAAAGAAACAAAGAAAATGATTGTGTTTTTGTGCCTAAATCCCCACAAAATTCCATTGCAAAAGCTAAAAATCTTGACCAACGTTTTTAAGAGAATAGAAGAAAAAATAGGTTCAATTTTCTTTTTCCTTTACCAATTAAAGATTAAAGAAAAGACAGGCTTCAGAGAAGAAAGCAAACAAGAACAAGAGGTACATAAGCTGTACATGTAGAGCCTTAAGAAGCTATGATGAACAGATCAATACCTGTAGTATATCAATAAATTGTTTTTTTTTTTTGCTGATAAAAAAAATAAAAATAAATAAATAAAAGAACAGATCAATACCTGTTGTTGGCATACTCGTAAAGCCGGCCACGGGTCGAGAAAACAATAAGGGCAACCTCAGCATCACATAGAACAGACAACTCATAGGCTTTCTTGAGCAAACCATTGCGACGCTTGCAGAAGGTGACTTGCCGATTGGTTGTGTTTTCGATCCGTTTGATCTCGATCTTTCCCCTACCCATTTTTCTCTGGGGGGAGAGACGAGAGACATCCATTGATTGATTCTGAAACTCCATTGTTTCAAGCTGAAATAATCATAACCAGCTCCATCATCAATAATAAGAAAATGAAGAACTCATATATTAAAAAATTCTTTTAAGATATAAAAGAAAAGAAGCAACTTGAAGTATTTCTTTCTTTCTTTCTCTTTCTTTTTATATCTTTCAACAATAAAAAGAAACAGAAAAATGTACAACAAAAAGAGAAGGAATAGCTCATTTTATTACAATACCCTGTCAACAAGATTAGCCCTTTGTTTGATTGCCGAGAAGGCATAGGAAAAGAAAGGAAAATTTAGAACTCAGAATCTTATAATATGCAGAACCCAAATCGAGTCAATAGTTTCGAGCTCAACTTTCATTCATTTTTCAACTCCTTAGAGACCAAACTGTGTGATATTGTACTAATCAGAGGAAATGAAGTGACAGAAAAGAGATTGATTTCAGAAACAAATGAAGCCCTAAAAGTGATTTCCAGTTTCTGAATCAATTGTTTTAGCTCACTAACCTGTTAATGATAGAAGGAAGGAGGATAATTTCAGAAAGAAGCTACAATTTCTTCCTTTGCTTTCTCTCTCCCTTCTTTTCTTAGAAAGCTGAACTGTAGAGAGAGATACAGAAAATGGAATGTGGTTACACTAAGAGATGGGTATTTATAAAGTGAACAATGACCCTTCATCCACTAACAGCCTCATAAATCTCGTTTTTATACGCTAATATATATATATATATATAGATATATATATTAATGTATCTCTCTTTCTTGATGGTTTGTATTTGATGCAATAACAAAACAGAAGGCTAAAGAGGGAAATCACTTATCAGATTCAGACTCTCTTCACCATTCATTTCTTTTTGCCTGTTTAAATTATAAGTGACTGACGGGTGAATTGTATGAGAGAGAGAGAGAGAGAGAGAGAGGCAGAGAAGAAAAGGACCTCTGAAAGTGATTTTTAATGGGGGTGAAATGAAACGTTGGACTAAGTTGCACTCAAATTCTCATCCCTCTTGATTCAAATGAAACGAGAAGAGAACTCTTTCCATATTAACATGTATATTTTTATTTATTTTTTAATTAGCTTTTGTGATATTTTAGATATGGTTTTGATCTCAAGGTTGCTGAATATGTATCTCATTGGAGAACATAACTCGGGTGATGCTACATCCTCCATTCTTGTCATCCAATTGTTTTTTTTTTTTATTTTTTATTTTTACAACATGATGTGGCAACGATATGAAGTAAAATAATATTTTTTTTATAATTGATGTTATTTGTTATTTGTTTTTTTTTTGTTTTTGTTTTTAATTAACAATCACAACAACAATGGTAATATTTGCAATTAAGATAGTAAATATTGATTATTTATAAAATTATCTTGAGATTATATTTTTTTTTATGCCCATCGTACTTCATTTACTGTGAATACTCTTCAAACTTTTCAACGAGTAGATAGAAAGTGTAATCTCTAACCCTCGATAAATATTACTTATCATGTAGGGTAAATTACATTTTGCGCCAGTAAAGTTTCACCTATTTCTTACTTTGATCTTTTAAGTTTGATTTTTATCACTTTGACCTTTCATGTTTGTAATTATTCTTAATTTAGCTTTTCATGTTTGCAATAATTACCACTTTGGCCTTTTCAATTTGATTTTTTTCACTTTAACCTTTCATATCTGTAATTCTTTCGACTTTACTCGTAGACTAACTTCCATCCAAAAAACAAACAGAATTTGCCATATCACCAACACATCAGCTCCATGTGTAATATAAAAAATTCACTGAAGATGCAAAATAAATATGCAAAAAAATGAAAAATAGAAAACAAAAAAATTAGAATTTTTTTTAATCTTTTTTTTTTTTTTTGGATCAGCAGAGGAAAAGATTTATTGATGAAAAAGCAAATTACATACAAAGAGACATCAACAAATCGGGGAAGTGCACAAAAATCAAAGCTAATTTCCACAATCCCAACTAGGTTGGCACCACAAATGAAGCACAATCATACGCAAGTACTAACCCAAGATTGGTGAGAAGCCAATCAAAAACAAACAAAAACCAATAAAGCAGAACAATCAACAAACAAGTAACACCATTCTACACCAGCTCCAAACCATTGAGTTTCCATTAGCAAAATCAGGATTTTATCTCCCCATAGAACCTACACAGATCAGAACATCCACAGGCAGAAGCAGACCAGAACAGAATAGCCCATAGAACCTGCACAGACCACCCAAAAACCAACACTATTGTGTAGCAGCTGTAGCAAAGCCACCCAGCAAACCCCATAGTAACATACACAACAGACCCCAAACAGCATACATAGCAAGCACCTTGGTGCACTCACCTTGACACACTTAGAGGTGGAGCCTTACATGACTTAGATTGAATATTAAGTTGTCCACTAAGTAATGAAAGTCTTGTATTGAAGCTTTGATCCATAATGCAAGTCTTACCTTTATAAGCTCACTCAACTCAAATCAATTGGTGCAATCAAGCCAAACTACTATCAATGGAAGCTCCAACGCTGTAAAGAGGGCAAAAAAGAATGGTAAGATGAAAGTGAGAGGGCCGGGTGCAGTAAAGCCTAACATAGAGGAGCTTGGGTATAAGAGGTTAGCTCGACTGTATGGTCAAAAAGGTACCCCATCTAGCAAGTATATCCTAAAGTGTGCAATTTTCAGGGCTGCTGCAGCAGCCTTGTCTCTTTTTGCTTCAACTAAGAGTGGTTCAAGCAAATGGAGGCATATTCTTAGTGAAGCTCAAGCTAATCTTCAGCTGGGTAAAGTTCTGGGGATTCACTACAATGGTAAAGATATTGAAGTTTTGGAGAAATTGGTGGAGCTTGAATTAATTGACAGAGGAAGAAGAAAGGGGAGGGAGATCGCATAAGGGTCTAAGTGTCTCATCTAGGGGAATTTGGCGTATCATATGTTTACTGATGAATTTAACGTCATGGAATATCAGAGGATTCAGGAAATCTGTGAAGAGGGGAAGGATTAGGAAGCTCATTTGTGATAGGAGGGTTGACTTAGTTCTATTGCAGGAAACTAAGAAAGCTTCTATTTCAGAAAGTGAAGTTAGAACCTTGTGGGGAAGGAGGAACATGGAATTTATGGCAGTGGATTTAGAAGAGTTAGCAGGGGGATTACTCTGTATTTGGGATCCAAGTTTATTTTAGTTGAAGGACCGTTGTTCCAATAGAAGATTTGTTCTCCTGTCAAGTACTCTCCTGAATTCTTTTGATTGTGTTATACTAAATGTTTATGCCCCTAATGATGTGAGTGGTAGAGGTATGCTTTGGGATACTTTAATAAAATTAAAGTCTGATTTTCCAAATCCATGGGGGCGAGGGGTATTTTAATGAGATCAGATTTATTGGGGAAAGGGGGGGCTGCTCTATAAGGGAAAAGGGGATGAAGGAACTAAATGCATTCATTGATAAATGTGAGTTGAATGATATACCATTGCTTGGTAAGAAGTACACATGGTGTAATGCTCAGGAGGAGGAGAAATGGAGTAGGATTGGCAGGGTCCTGCTAAATCCTGAGTGGTTGCAAAGATTTAACTTCAAGTTATGGGGTCTTCCTAGAATTTGTTCTGATCACTGTCCACTCCTGTTAATGGAAGATAACAGGGATTGAGGGCCAAGACCCTTCAGGTTCATTAATGCATGGATTATGCACTCATGTTTCCCCTCTGTTATGGAAAAATTCTAGACTGAAAAAAGGATTACTGGGAGTGCTGGGTATATTCTGATTCAAAAGCTAAAATTGCTCAATGTGGAGCTGAAAAAATGGAACTCAGAAGTTTTTGGGAATGTATCTACAAAATTAAAGGAGGTAGAGAAAGAGCTGCATGGTATTGACATTACTGCAAAAGATAGACCTCTGTCTGAAACTGAAAAGAACAGAAGAAGTGAGGTGACAGGGGAGGTATGGAAGCTTAGTAGGATGATGGAAAGGATTTGGCATCAGAAGTCTATAGTAAACTGGATCATGAATGGAGACAGGAATACTAAGTTTTTCCATGTTATGGCTAGTAGCAGAGGAATGGAAACTCAATCAATTCTATCTTAATTGATGGAGTTGTTATGAAGGAGCCAGTTACTGTACGACTTGCAGTCTTACAGCATTTTAGGAGGCAGTTCACTCAAAGCTGGGCAATTAGACCAACTCTGGGAGGCACCTTTAAGTCAGTTGCAGCTAGTGACGCATTTTCTAACCTGGAAGCTACTTTCTCTGAATGTGAGGTAAGGGCAGCTATCATGGACTGTGATGGAAATAAGGCTCCAGGCCCAGATGGTTTTAATCTCCTATTTTTTCAGAAATTTTGGAAGTTATTGAAATCTAAGGTGTTGCATTTCATGAGGGATTTTCATACCACTTCCAAGCTCTCATTTGAAATTAAGAGTTGTTTCATCACTCTTATTCCTAAGAATGATAATCCTAATGGATTAGCTGATTTTAGACCCATTAGTTTGGTCGGAAGTATGTACAAGATTCTCTCAAAAGTTCTTCCTCATAGGCTTAAAAGAGTGCTCCATGAAGTTATTGGGGATTCTTAGTCTGCTTTTTTAGGTGGAAGAAGTATACTTGATGGAGTTTTTATTGCAAATGAAATTGTGGATGGATGAAAAAAAGCTAGAAAGAAAGGGATTGTTATTAAACGTGATTTTGAAAAAGCTTACGGCTCAATTAACTGGGGATTTCTATTTTCTATGTTGGCCAATTTTGGGTTTGGGTCAAAATGGATTTCTTGGATGAGGGCGTGTTTCCATAGCAAGGTTGTCTGTCCTTGTGAATGGTTCACCAACAGAGGAGTTTTCACCACAAAAGAGTCTTAGACAAGGTGACTCTCTATCGCCTTTTTTATTTATTATAGTGGCAGAAGGGTTGAATATATTAATGCACAGAGCTCACGAAAAAGGGTTCATTAAAGGGGTAAAAGTTGGGGTGAAAGAAGTGATGATATCTTATCTCCAATTTGCGGATGATTCGATGTTGTTTTGTGAGGCTGAATTGGAACAAATAGTTCATATAAAAAGGGTCCTAAGATGTTTTGAAATACTTTCTGGAATAAGGATAAACTTTCATAAGAGTGTAGTGTGCGGTGTAGGTGTGGATGTTGAGGCCTTGATATCTTGTGCTGATATTCTAAATTGCAAGGTCCAAGGCTTACCAATGAATTTCTTGGGCCTTCCATTTGGTGCTAATCCAGGTAGGAAATCAACCTGGAAGCCAGTGTTCGATAAGGTTAAATCTAGGTTGGCGGGTTGGAAGAGAAGAACTCTATCTTTAGCAGGCAGGTTAACGTTGATTAAGTCTGTTCTGTTTAGTCTACCTATTTACTATCTTTCTTTGTTCAGAATGCCCAATGGAGTTGTTAGAGAAATTGAAAAGCTCCAAGTTGCTTTCCTGTGGGGAGGTAATGATCTGAAAAGGAAAGTCCACCTGGTAAAATGGGCTGAAGTGACAAAAAGTAGGGAGCAGGATGGCCTTGGAATTAGAAGAATCAAGGATGTCAATTCTAACCTTCTCTTTAAATGGCGGTGGAAATTTGGGAAAGAAGTAAATGTTCTACGGAGAAGGTTGTTGTGTAGCAAATACAGAATTGAGGAGGGTAGCTGGATCCCATCTGCGAGTTTGTCTCATAGTCACTCTAGATTGTGGACTGATATTATCACAGTGGCAAAGCATCATC